GAGAGGAGGGGGAGGAGAGAGGAGGGAGAGGAGAGGAGAGCGTAGGAAACACGCTTACCCGTGGCTGCCAGTTCTCGTACTGCTTCTGTAAATTTGCACCGATGGTTTCCAGAGCTTTCTGAGGCCCCATCGACAGAGGATCTGAAGAAGCAATAAAAAGGGGAAAGTTCATTATCCGTGCATCTCCTCGCCGCCAAGCCTGCCTCTCGCTGCGTCCTCCGCCATCACTCACTTCACGGCCACCTCGGACCCAAGACACAACTGGGGTTTTCTGCCATCACCAGACCTAGGGAGCTGCTACGCCCCCAAACAGGCCAGAGCGCGCACCGTTCTAGAGAACAGCGCCTTCACCGGCCCCACCGGCCCTGTGTCTTCCCGTCCCTGTGCTCACCATGCAGCCTCACGGTCTCCCTGCACCCCCACTGCCTCACCCCCACACGGCCCGCAGGCTGTGCAAAGGAGGGGCCGCACGGAGGGCCACGCGGCAGTCCCCTCGCCTTCTAACGACAGCCCTCACGCAACAGGACGGGGAGGAGGACAGAATGACCATGGTGACGCGTTCGTCTGCGAACTTTCGCCTACGCGCAAAAACCAGCTTCCCAAGCACACCCGTGTGTTAGTGGCTCACCCGCCTGTTTCGGGAGTGGATTCTAGTGCAAATAACTCTAACCAGCAACTCCTCAAACTTACTTGGTCTCGGGACTCCTGTGCACCCTTGAAAATTATGCAGAACCCCAAACAATGTTTAAGCGGCGGTATCTATTGATTGGTATTGGCTGTATTCAAAATCAAACGAGAAATTTTAAACAGAGTTCTTCATTCATCCGTTTAAAAGTAATAACAACTCATCACATTTGAACATAGATACTTATGAAAAATGACTGTTTTGCAAAAGAAAAAAGAAGGAATCAAGGAAAAGAGCAGGACTGCCTTAAAATTTTTAGAAACTTTCTTTAGTATCTGGTTTAACACATGACAGCTGGACTGCACTACCTGCTTCTGTGCTCATCTGTCACAAAATGTGGTCCTCGCCGACACAGAGGAGGAAAACCCCACCTCACGCACGGACACACAGACGCTGCCGGGAAGGAGAGGCTGGTTTAAATAGCCTTTGTAGGGGCGCCTGGGTGGCGCAGTCGGTTAAGCGTCCGACTTCAGCCAGGTCACGATCTCGCGGTCCGTGAGTTCGAGCCCCGCGTCGGGCTCTGGGCTGATGGCTCAGAGCCTGGAGCCTGTTTCCGATGCTGTGTCTCCCTCTCTCTCTGCCCCTCCCCCGTTCATGCTCTGTCTCTCTCTGTCCCAAAAATAAATAAACGTTGAAAAAAAAAAAAAGAAATAAACAGCCTTTGCAGACAGTCGTGGCTATCTTCTTGGATGCTATACGACCCAACCGCGGCAGTTGCTTTAAGACTGCGTGATGTGGAGTCTGAAAGCACAGCGATGGCCCTGGATCTACGGCACTGAACCCGCTAGTCTGCTGTGCGCTTTGAATGGACCCTCTACCGACGGATGACGTGTCGTCATCACTGGTCACTTGTAAAACCCTGGCTCACCAAGCCACGTGGATCTTCGGCATTTCGTTCCCTAATAGCTCAAATTTTACCACCGGCAACAAATACTTCCATGTCTACCTACCTAAAGTGACGGCTCACTCTGTTCACCTTCCAGAAAACGCCTGCCAAATGCCCCAGGTCCGTCAGTCGCTTCTCCAGGCAAAGAGGATCTCCCACGAGAAAAGCCACTAGTGTAGCTCAGGACTCACCCACCGTGTGAAGCCTTTCCTCCCTGCAACCAGGACCCGCCACCCGGCAGCCCCCACCGTCACACAGCCTTACAGGTGTGCTGTAAGACTGTTCACTGCTGAGCCACAGTCCCCAACACAACACCTTTCCCGAACTGTTTGCAGTCTCCTCGTTTTCCGTGTATTAACGCTAAGTCTGCCCCAACGCCCCCAAGCATCCGTTTCAAATACCGTCTTCCACACAGTTGAGATGGCAGCTAATCTCCCTCGACACCCCGGCCGCCCCCCGTGCAACCTCAGCTTGGCAAGAACCTAACACTCCTCCCTGCAGAAGTGGGAATGGCTCCCAAGGACACAGCCTCACGGGACCGGGGACGACAGCACACACGTGACCGGAGTCTCACAGGGAAGAGAAAATTAAGTGCAGAACTCAAAGAGCAGTTGAAGACACAATGCGGGACAACTTCCCACATCTGGCAGGAGACATAAACTTACAGGTTCGAGAAGCTCAGTGAACCTCCAACAGGATTAACCCGAGAAAACCCATACCCAGACACATCAGAATCAAATCGCCAAAAACAAAAGACCGAAAATAAAAGTCCTTGGAGAAGAATCCGTTCACAAAGGATCAGGAATGAGACGGTCTCTGGGTTTCCCAGCGACAACGAAAGCTGGACAGACAGAGCAACACCTCCACGTCCGTCATGAAGACAACGTCAGCCTGATGTTCAAGTCTGAGGATAAAACAGAGGTCTTTTCAGACACACAAACACTCACAAAATCTGTCCCGTGGTCTCCTCTTGAGAAATACAGCACCAAACAGGGCCATGAAAGATCCAGGAAAAGAAAGAGAGACCACAAGACGCCCACGAGCCAGCTCTAAGGATGAAACGGTTCAACAGGAGAGGGGTAGTTTTTAAAAAAAAACGACCAGATTATCTGAGCACTGGAATGAGTCCTGATAGCGCCTGACAGATCTACTGGAGTGTATGTAAAAAAATGAAGTCACAAGTTCACAGAAAATTTAGCAAATAAAAGTAACTGGCAGATTTGTAACTACTACAGGGAACAAATCGCTTACACAGACAAGAAAGGAATCAGAGTAGCCCCTCTGGGAAAGGCAGAGAGAAGAGACAGCTCCCTCTTAATATACTTTCTAGTATGGTGTGGCTGTAAAACTTGTATGCATGTACTACTTTGATTTTTAAATAAAAAAGAATTATAAAATTAAGTAACGGGACTTCAGGATTGGCAAGGACCTTCAGCATCGGTGCGTCAAAGTCATCGAGGACTTTCTAAAACAGAGACGCCGGGCTCTACCCTGGAGACTCCAATTCAACAGCTTCAGAAGAGCCCAGTCAGCTAACGAGCACATTCTGGCTGAGCGGAACCTAATGAAAATTGGGTCATAATTAACTTACCTGGAAGAACTATGGTAAATTCGTTTCCATCTGTAACTAAAGACATTAGGCGTTCATTTTCATCTCTCTGTCCTGGTAGGAACCCAGTGCTGAGGTCTCGAAGGAATTACGACGACCCCAGTCAACTCTGCTATAATCTGAATCACAAGACTGGCAAAGGGCCAGAATAAATCGGGATCGGAAAAATAAAAACTCAGGGCCACCGAAGAGCCAAGGGGAGCTGAAAACAGCATCAGCAGATAGAAACCGCTCAAACGGCCAGGCCTGGGACAGGAGACCAGGGGTAGATACAAGAGCCAGCGTGAACCTTCCAGCCCGTGTGGCACCCGTGTGCCCGGTGCTCCGGCTGGAGTCCACGGGCAAGAGAAGGACACGGTTTCCTCTGGACAAAGAGGAGAGGCCCAGCCGGGTGCCACCTGATCAGAGGCAGGTCGTACACGTGCCCTCTGCGAACCCCGAACCCCGTCGAAGGGAGGAAGGGAGGGAGTGCAGGAGGTGAAGGTACTCATGTCAGGGGAAGGGCCAGAGCTGGCCCTCCCCCCTGGACTTCTCCCCTTGGAAAGCCCAGGCCCTCCCGCCCCACACGGTCCTCTCCCATGTCCCCAGCGAGGGCCTGCCGCCCGTCTGCCAGAGCTGGAGACCTCTGCCCGCAGGCAGGCCGGCAGACCCCTCGCGGTCGTGGCCCTCCTCCTTCCCTGGTCTGGCTCAAAATTCCTGCCTTCCCGAGGGAGGGGCAGCGATCAACCAAGGCCGCCTGTCACATCCTCTGTACTGGGAACCCCGTGGCCAATTAACTGCATGGTTTCCTCCCAAGGGTGTGACAGTGGGGGGAGGCGCATGGGGGGAGGGAAAGACGAGGACAAGGAAAACGATGCTTTTACTACAATAAACCAAGTCGCTGTGTCAGCGAAACTAAGTTCCTGGTGGACAGTGTGGACAGTGTGGAAGTGTGGGCGCATCTCTCCTCTCCTGCCCTCACGGGTTCCTGTTCAGTGAACAAAGTGGGCGGGCAGGTGGGTGGAAGGGAGAGGGCGTAACTGGCATTTGTATGAAACGTGAGCTTTGCATCGACGTTCCTGCAAGGCCTTCAGGCTAAGCCCCGTACCTCGTATGCGCAGACCTTCAGGTCGGCAGGAACTGCCGTCAGCCTACGCCCCAACACAGGGGAGAAGCTGGAGTTCTGGGTGGTCAAAAAACTGGGCCAAGGTCACAGAGGTCGGCGATGGGGCTGGCAGTCAGCCAGCCTGGAAAACCTCCTGTTCTGTCCACTCTTCCTTCGGGGGAGCCCGTGCACCATCAACTACCAACGTGCTGGTCCCAGCCGCAGCACCTGGTGCCGGCACCATGGCCGCTCTTCCTCCTCCTGGGAGGTTCTGGAAGGTCCTGAGAAGGGCAGGAGCCCAGGGAGCACGGCTCTGCTGACCCGGAGAGGAGCACTGGGGGCCTTCTCCTGTGACATCACTCCTCCCCGGAAAAGCCTGCAGTGCCTCCAGCATGCTCCCTTTTGGGTAAGGTGAACGCGAGCACGACTAACTTAAGGGGCCGGGCTGCCTGGAAGGTGACAAGAGACCGGGCCGGACTTCGGGGCCGCTGCCTACACTGTTCCTTGATCTGTGTTGGGTCAGTCTGGGAAAAGCTGCCAAACTATATGCTGGGATCAGCCCACCTTCAGAACAGACTGAAAATTAAAAAAGCACACAGAGCTCGCTGCTCAAAGAACGTCTGTAGTCCTCTGTAGCTTGTATTTAAGTGGACGTTTCATAGGTATTTGTTAATAGACATATTAACTGAGTACTGCCTATTAGATCAAGTGCATATTTCTCTGTGTGGCGTTCGAGGACTCTGCCACTAATTAGCTGTGTAACCTCGAGCAGCTAATTTTCATTGAGAAATAATAATGGCAAAGGGGCCACTTTGAAGTCGGAGATAGTTTTCAACGGCTCTGCGCCATCGGCCATGATGTCATCCACATACATGTT